TTATTCCAGTGACACTGAACTGTTAAAAACAGTTTCTACCTCAGTAGAATTTGAAAATAAAGTTGATATCAATTTGTAATACCCATTGATTTATTCCTTTTGTAGTGGGTTTATTACAAATTGTTTGGGTCCCTTTTTGAACTGAAAATCCTTCCTATTTGATTCCTCAGTGAGTCCATTTATTCATTCTCTGATTCCTTTAGTTCAAATTGCAAAATGGGTACTTTCTTCTTTACCCTTGTCATTGGGATGGTATCAGGTAAATGAAATTATTTCTGAACTTTCAGAAGGTCAAAAAGCCAGCATCTCTCAAAGGCAAGACTTAAACTTAGGTCTTCTGGGTTCCAAATCCAGCTTCAGCTGCGTAATACAGTGGTGCCTCTTCTCACTAATAAAAGATGCTTGCATTAAGTTTGAAGTTTAATTTTAATTTTGCTGTTGAATGTCAATATCATGAAATGCTTTAGAACTATATAAATTAATAAATTTAGCTGTTTATACAATTTTCTTTTTTAAAAAGGTAAGAGAAACAGCATTAGTATCTGAATTGGATGGAAGAAAATGATAAATTGGCAATGGGTCAGATGAGGGTGACTGCTGTTATCCAAACAGAAATGAGTTGTCAACTAAATACATTTTCCGTTACAAATAGATAAACAAATGGGCTTCACATCTTTCTGATTATTCCAGTATTAGGTCTGTCATAGCAACCTGTGAAGGAAATTTCACAGCCCTGGGCTTGCTGTCAATAAAATCTTCATTTATGTTTTATTTTGGATAAAACCAAAATAATGTTAATTACTCCTGCTAGTTAAAATACATACCACAGTGAAAATAGCTATTATATTGTATCACACACTCACAGAATCTTAGAATTGGAAGGGACCTTAGAGAGCCTCTAATCCAACCCCTGCTAAGCTTTCCTATAATATTATCAGCAAAATGAACATTTCATCTGTTTGAAGACCTCTACTGATATAAAACCCACTGCATACAATAAGTCTTTTTTTTTCCTTTTGGTTTATGCTGTTGGATTAATCTCAAAAACAATAAAGGTGTATGTGTGTATGCAATAATAGAAAACAGTGATCAAAATGACATTAAACAACTTGCCCATATTTATATAGAGCATCTCATAGAATCCTAAATGCCTAATATAATCCTGAGCATTGAATATGTGTTTGGTATGAGTAATACATGCTCGTGAAACTTGTAAGAAAAAAGATATTAGTCATTTAGAATGTTGAGTATTTACGATCACATTGCAGAAGATAAAAACATTTGCTTCTCTTATGAAATATAGATGTTTATATGTGTGTATGTTTGTGTGTGTACATACATACACATATACATATGTATATATACAAACACATATGTGTGTTTCTGTGTGTATATATGTATATATAAATATATATGGAGAGAGAGAGAGAGAGAGAGAGAGAGAGAGAGAGAGAGAGAGAGAGAGAGAACATGACAGAGTTTGTATGTCAAGCACAAGGATAGTTGGACTGTACATAATTTGGCAAAAAACCCCACTAAGTGTTACTCTAAGTCTAGCATACTTCATTGCCAATCATAGGACATTAAAATATTTTTTCCAGATTGCTCTCTAATTTTATGGGCTTGAGGGCAACATTTGAAGCACATTTGCTTTTCTACATAAGTGCCTGAGGCATATGCTGGCTACTACCAGCATTTGAATGTTATGCCACTGAAGGAAAGAAAGAAGAAATTTATGATTATAAGTCCACTCACAGTCTTTCATACCAGGTCATTTGCTTGCTTGTTGTGTTGAATTCCATATTGCTGCTACAAACCTGACTAAGACCACTGGAGTGCAGCGCAGCTGGTCTGGTTATTTTTGCTGTCTTAATGACTGCTCTGATTAATTGTATGGCAGTCAACTAGCTATTAGTATGACTGAAAACTTGACTCAGCCACAGAATCAGTAATTCAGGGGGCATATGTTGATGTGGCCTTAAACTTTAAGTTCAAAGAAAATATAAAAAAAAACCTTCCAGGTTTTTAATAGTAAAATAATAATAATAAACTCTTGTGATAATAAGTCTTTCTAGCTATTATCATATGCATTATGATTGTGCCATCGTTCATATCATTTTCTTATTCAAATCCTACAATTCAGACTTTATGAGATTTTCTCCATAAAGCATAACATAGCTAGATTCTTTCTTGGAATTACTTTTGCATTCTACCAAATAGCATTAGCGGCTAAATATTAATTTCTTCTGAGTCTTAGCTATGTCTTGTGAGTGTTAACTATTTAAACACTAGGAAAATATCTTAGAAGCAGGTAGGTGGTACAGTGGATAGAATGCAGGGCCTGGAGGCAAAAAGACTCCTCTTTGTGATTTCAAATCCAGCCTCAGACACTTATTAGCTATGTGACCCTGGGCAAGTCACTTAACTCTGTTTGGCTCAGTTTCTCCTTTATAAGAACCTACTCCAATATCTCTGCCAAGAATATCCCAAATAGGGCCACAAAAAGTTGGACATGAATGAAAAACAACTAAGCAATAACGAAAGTCTGTTGCCGATCCTTCACAATGCCTAGCTTATTTTCTGCACATAGGAGGAACTTAATAATGTATCTTAATTGATCAATGGCCTTTTGGGAGGTGGAAGGAGTGGAGGAGGACAGATGGTGGATGTTGTCTGATAATAAAACCAGTTTAATGTCTACACCCTCACCTCAATACTGTAAAGTATCTCTGTCACAGTTATCTTCAATCACTGAATCATAGGATACCATTTTAAAGATGAAAAAAACTAAAACAAAGTGATAAAATGGCTTGGCCAAAGTCATACAGCTAATTCCTGGCAGACTGACTTCCAGTTCCTTGGTCTTTCCATTATGTCATGCAATCTCTACTTTCAGGAAGATATTAGTTTATTGATTGTTTTCCAGTATAGAACCCTATCACTTTAAAATCTCACAGTCCTAAAATGTCGCATTCCTTGTCTACTTTTCAGAGACATTCTCACACTGAATATCATTGTGCTTTGGGAGGCAAATGAATAAAAATATAACCCAAAGAACTTTTAAATATGAAAGAATGCTGAAGGACAAGATGTAAATGGATGGATAATGGCAAAGCAAATCATAATACATGGGAGCTTTGATTTTGTTGACTCTTTGTATAGTTATGGAGGAAATGCAGTACACATACTGTGTTTCCAAAGTGGAAACCTTGTGAAATGGAATTACTGGATTTCTGTTAAAACAAAAAGAAGGCAAAGGAATGTTTTCCTGACATGTGCACATAGCCAAAATGTTAACAAGTTTTCTATTTTTTTTTCTCAGTGGAAGAAGATATATTTATATTGATGTGGGCACTCCGTAAGTGCCTGAAATAATCAACTGGATCTGGCTTTGACATTTTTTCCTGATTATTGAAGAATTCTCTTTTTAAAGCCCTCATTATTCAGAGAAATAAAGTGATTTTATATCCTGTCTCTGTCATTGGTAGACTGTTCTTTTCCAGTAGCTTTCTTTTTGCCAGATTTATGCTGCTATGAGAAACGGAACTGTAGGTTAGGGTTTGCAAGAGCAAAGTGTAAACTTCATGGAAGCAAGAGGTCAGAAGTCATTGTGTTGTGTGTGTGTGTGTGTGTGTGTGTATGCATTTGTATAATATATATGGAGAGATAAATGAATAATAATATGTAATAATTTGTGTTTCTTTTCTTCAGTGTCTGACTGGATATCATAGTCTTTACTTAGTTATTTATGAGAGGAAGGATGGGAAATTAGTTTTGCCTTTATACAGATCTGAAAAAAAGTTAGGGCAGAGCATTAACATGAAAAAGACCCATTATATATTCAGATACTTTACCAGCCCAGTACATACTTAATTTTTATTTGAACTTTGAATGTTTTGAGAATGTGTTTAATGCAGTGAAATGCATAAGAAAAAAATGAGTCAGAGATGTTAATATGCAGAAATACTTCAAAAATTGGAAAGGACAATCATGTCATTTCATTCATCATTCTAAAAACAACATATATGAACTTTATGTTAGAGTGAGTTGAATTGTATTTAAACATTTTTCCTAAAAGAAAAGTTGCTTTAAAATATTTTAGATTTCATAATCAACTGACTGTGATTTAAATCTTAGCCACCAAGGGTTTCTGTTCAAGGGTCAGTTATTTCAGTTCCCTGTTTGAAATAACACTTTCAAGATATGTATTGATGTTTCCTTTCTTGTAAGTGTTATCAACCAAAAAGCGGGTCCCCAAATTAGGTCTTTGATAAATAAGGTGCCCTAAGGTGTCGGCTATTAAAAAATCCCCTGCTACTTAAAATCTCAAAGCAATATATATTATTTTGGTATCTCTAGTTTATCTCATTTCTACAACCTTCTCAAAATCTGCCACACCAAGCTTATAGAAGGCCTTTGTGGATTACTACAAAAACAATGTTTCTTGAAATTACTTTTTCCCCTTAAACTCTAGTTGTACAAAATTGTTTTCATAGAAATGTTTAATTTAAATTGTACAACTGACTGACCTGGGAAGGAATAGTGTATTCTATATAATATAGCATGTAATTCAGGTTGCCTATTTTCCAAATATGACTGAAGAGTCCTTACTGGTTCGAGATCTTGCAGCTCAAATGATGATAGGCATTAAGGTTTTGTTAATGCATGAGTCAAAAGTATCACTGGATAGTAAGTTAAATGAAAGTAACGAGTGGCATTTTAATACTTATTTTCTGGACACAGATTCTTATATAAGAAGCTAATTTTTAAAATAGTAGTTAGCTAGTTATCTTTAGGACCTTTGAAAAAGTAAAAAGATGTGCGTGGGTTTTATCAAAACACTATGTAATACCATGCTGGGTACCACTGGTATTTTTTTCTTCACCTGATATGAAACAGCTTTGTATGTACATTTCCACCTCTTCTTTTCATGCACACCCTTAAATGAGTGAATGTTTCATATTTATTTTTCATTTGTCCATTAATTTCTTCCTCTTCAGGTGCAATCTAGCTCCTGTGGTGGAGTTTGCTGCAGATGTGGGAACTAAATCTGATTTTATTACCATGAATCCATCAGTTGTACAAAGAGCATTTGGAGGCTTTCGGAATGAGAGTGACAGAGAAAAATTTGTGCATAGACTGTCTATGCTGAATGACAGTGTCCTTTGGATCCCTGCTTTCATGGTCAAAGGAGGAGAGAAGCATGTGGAGTGGGTTAATGCATTAATCCTTAAGAATAAATTGAAAGTGCGAACTGCCTATCCATCACTGAGACTTATTCATGCTGTCAGAGGGTAAGTGTCTGGAAAAGACTGGTCTGTCCTTGACACAATGGAACTCATAACTTAAAATTTTCCCTAGATGGAAAATAGCCTCAGTAAACTTTCAAATAGACTTTTTACATCTAGTATTTTTATAAGATTGTTCTTTCCATGAACTAAGATTTGGGTTGGTTTTAAATATGTATCCCCTTATTTACCCTTTTTCAAAGAAAGTAAGTGCTTACATTTTAGAACTTCCTTTATACTACCTCAGGAACAAAATATAGATTATATTGTTTCCCTGTGACCAACTAGGAATAGCTGAACAGCAACAACAACAACAACAAATGTTTTCACAACCTAATTGATGAGTTTTAAGTACGGAAAAGATAGCAGAAGTGCCAAATGGCCAGTGGGCAATATTGTAGAGACATGAGTGCTAGGCATATTTAAGGAGCAATTAAGTCCCATCTGTAGAAATAAGCCTAGCAGTGAGAGAGAAGTCTGGCTGAGCTAATAATCCTTAATGCTTCCCCCAAAAAAGTCACAGATGCTGTCCTCATGAATTAAGCCAACATTTCCTTTCATTAAAAGTAAGAAAACGAGAGAGAGAGAAAGGGGGAAGTGGGGGGAGAGGGAGAGAGAGAGAGAGAGAGAGAGAGAGAGAGAGAGAGAGAGAGAGAGAGAGAGAGATTCTCATGAAGGAGTGGCAAAGGGTCTAACTCAATCTTGCTTGCATACCAGTGGTACTTTAAAGACATACCTAACAAGTAGACCCAGACCCTAAATTCTATTGAGATGGTTTTCCAACCGCAGGAGTTGAGTGATATAAACTAAGTCCAACTTCATGATTAAACAACTCTTATGATGAGCATTTTACTATCAAGAATTGCAATTCATAAACTGCAATTAAAATTGTATGTAAGTTGGTTTGATTTTAATTACCCTTTCCTTCAAGGATTTAATCTATCCCCTTGCTATAAACCTTTGAAAAATTCCCCATAGGAATGAATGTCTCTCAATGCTCCTTTTTGGGTCTCCACTTGATTGATAGTATTTATTCTCTGAATGTTTGAATAGAAAAGTGAGGTATAAATTAAGGAAGAGAAAGTATGTATGATAGAGAAATAACAACTACCTATAGATTCTTAACACATTACCGAATAATATCAGTTGTTATATAAAATTGATATGATCACATGGAGAGGAATAATAGTTGATATTTTTTAAGCATTGTAAGGTTTGGAATGTAAGTGCATACTGTACATTAACTTGTTTAATCCTTACAACCACTTTGTGGGGAAGTTTGATCACTCTAGGTATTTTCTTTAAACTTTAGAGTTTCCTAACCTGGGATCAAATAACTTAACAATATCTGTTTTCATAACTTCATTTTGGTATGATTAGTTTCCATTTTAATCTTACAGATTTTATGTATTTGAAAACATTTTGAGAAGTAGTCCCTGTGACCAACTAGGAATAGCTGAACAGCAACAACAACAACAACAAATGTTTTCACAACCTAATTGATGAGTTTTAAGTACGGAAAAGATAGCTTTGCCAACCTGCTTCAGGGTACCATCATATACAAAAATTTAAGAACCTCTGCACTAACACAAATTAAAATGAATATTGATGGGGAGGAATGTCTGAGCATGGATCTTATATTTCCACAATGACAGCTATCCTTCTTGCTCCCCAGGGGTGGGAACCTGTGGCCTCGAGGACGCATGTAGCCTCTCAGGTCCTTGGCTGTGGCCTTTTGACTGAGTCCAAGTTTTACAGAACAAACCCTTTTATTGAGGGGATTTTTTCTGTGAAGTTTGGATTCAGTCAAAGGGCTGCACTTGAGGATCTAGAGGGCCACATGTGGCCTCGAGGCTGGAGGTTCCCCACTCATGCGGTCTAGCCTCGTGAATCTTCGATAGCCTTTTAATAATATGCATGCTGCAAGCACACATTACCCAGATAATATACGTTGTTATGTAAAAAAATGATACTCACTTGGAGAGTAGTAATAACTGATACCCAAGTACATATATAATGTTTCCATATTGCAGAGCTGATATACAGACTTCTGGGAGGTTTAGTGCAAAGATACCTTCCTTCAGTCAGCAGAGTTTTCTCAATACATTACCCCCGACTCCACCCTACCCCACACTCCCACCCCCACCCCTCTAGTACTGCTGGAAGCTGGGGTATATGCATATGCACATACTCCTATGTGATATGCACAGAATATTTTCCAGACAGAGTGACTGGCATAATGACTTGCTTAGAGGCTGTGTGCTGTGGGGGAAGAAATTCTCTACTAGAGTCTGTCAAGCTGGATTTGAATCCTGTGGTCTATGTGACCTTGAGCAAAGTCATTTCACTTATCTGGGCCTTCATTTCCTCATCTGTAACATGACAGGATTAGACTACTTGACCTCTAAATTTGCAGTCCCACAGGTTAAATTATTACTTTCTAGAGATGGGAAGAAAGGAAACAAACTTGTATTAAGCACCAGCTATGTTCCAGGTACCATACTTTACAAATATTATCTTATTTGAGCCTCACAATAACCCTGGGAGGTAAGTGCTGATATTATCCCCATTTTTAGCTGAAGAAACTGAAATAAACAGAGGTTAAGTGACTTACACAGAGTCACAAAGCCACTATATGTCTGAGGCCAGATTTGAACTCAGTTCTTCTTGATTGCAGGGCAGTGCTCTAGCCACTGCAGCGCCATCCTAGCTGATTAGGCAAACTAAAGTTCACAGAAGTTAAATGACTTGTCCATGGTCACACATCTAGTTTATACAAAAGACAGAATTTGAAACCAGGTAGCCCGACACTGAAAACCCAGTATCCTTTCTATTACACCATACTGCCTTTCAATGTATAACCACTCAAAATCTTTAGAAAATACTTTCTCTCCATCATGTCTGACATTTCAGTATTAATTTTTCCCCCATGACTCTCAGACTTTCTTTTCCCTCTCCCTTTCCCCTCCCACACACACACACATACACCTTGTACTTCCATTAATTTTAGACAGAGATGAAATTTTTTTTATAACTGCCTAAAGAAAATTTCTGTAAAATACTGAACTCTGCATTGTCTAACTGTGCAGGAAACTAATGATAAATGATAAGGTTGATCTGGTTTAGAACTTAAAGTCATATTCATATTTCTCAGTGCACTCCCACCACTGAAAAATGAAAAGTATGGAGTCTGAGCTAGCTCAGTAAGTTCAAAAGGCTATGCAAAGTTTTGTATGATTACTAAGATTACATCCAATAATGCTTTGGAACAAAGGCAAAACCACCTCTGATCTCTAGTACAAATGGATTCAATAAGAGCTTTTTCTCTTAAATTTTGTGCACAGTGGCAAAGCTGTTTAGAAAATAATTAGTACATCACAGCACTAAATGTATTTTCATTCTGTTCACTTTTCTTCCAAACCCAATGTGAATCTCAGCTGCTTCATGGAGTCCTGAGAGGCTTGTTCCAAGGAGTGATACTACTAAAACTCTCCCCCAGGGAAGCCAATATTATACTTCTTATGCTAGTAGTTTGGGATATTGTTGAGCCGCGCCAAGCTGGAGTTGAAGCTCAGGTTTCTTCCTTCTCCACAGGTAGCGGCTCAGTTTGTTGCTATTGTGTTGGGAGAGCTACTGCTCCCCCTTTATGAGCCGGTTGATTGAGGAAGTCCTTTGCAGTAGCCAAGTGTAAGATGTAGCTCTGGAGAGGCAGTGTATATGATGATGTGTATAAAATAAATCAAGCAGAGAAAGTACCCACAGCTCCCTTACACCATGGAAATAGAAGGGAAAATTGTTCACACAGTATTTGTGAAAGGCCAGCACATAACTGTTTCAATAGATAATGTACTCTAGCTACTTCAAACCACATCTAGAGAGAGCTGCATGAAGCCCCCAGAAAGAAAACAAGGAAGTATGAATCACTGATGAAACAAAAGATGAAGGGGACTTTAAAGCAAGGTTAAAGCTCCCCAAGTCCTATTCTTTAAGTATCTTTTTATATCTCATTTGCGTTTGTTATCAGCAAGCTCAGTGATAAATGCAGTTTAACAAAATAGCCTCGCCCAGAGAGTTTCATTTCCTCTGTTGATGAATAAAATTTGATGACCTTCCTGAAGGTCTCAGGGATCCCAGAACAGACATTTTCAGTCCACACACATAATCATGATGCTGAAGTCAGAATACCTTTTTAGTCCGTACTGTATAGAAAGCTTGAGTAATTAACAAAGTAATCACAAATAATTTCTCTTTAAAAACACACACACATAAATGCACAGCCATCTTTTTAGCCTTGGGGTGTCATCTCAGAAGCTTTCATATTATCAGAATTCATTATTTAAACTCAAGTTCCAACAGTATAATTGTTTTCTAGCTCCAAACTACCATTCATATGAAGTTGTTGTGTGTTTTATACATATGACTATTAATCACAGAAGTCAATCTACTTTTTTAATGTAGTGAAATCTTTCCAAAGTCTGTTAAATGAAATGGGAAGAGACATTTATCATTCTGAATTGGAACTAAAGTGGAAAGTTTTGAAAGGCAAACATAGATACAATAAAAATTCTGTGTGAGGTCCATTCAGGACAGAGACAATTGAAATTTTTGTGAAGGGCGTGGGTGGGGAAGGAAAATATTTATACATCGAAGAACCAGTAGAACAATGGAAGATCTACTTGAGGTAAATAAACTCATCAGCAAATAAAAGTGGATTTACCCGATATCTCAACCTGGAATTTTGCAGATAGAGCAGGAACTAACCAGACAGCTGCAGGGCTTAACTAAATGGGGGCAGAGTCCCAGCAGTATTAAGCGAAGCCAGAAATTGTCCTGTCATTAACCAGTTATTCACCTACACTATCTTTTTGAGGTCTCAGCTAATTTCAGAAAGGCTTCAGCTACCATGGCAGTAGTAAAATTCTCTTTTCACAAAGTTCCCTCTCTTCTTGGATCCTCCTCTTTCTCTTAACAGGAAAAACAACAACATTACTGATCCTCTTCTTATT